CAAGAATTCATAACCACCAGCTTCGTACAACTTTGGAAACGTTGCCTGAACCATCTCGTGGAGTTCTCCTGCACTAGAGTTTTCTGGAAGAAAACCTTTTTTTTCTCCAAGGCCTGCTGTTAGCAATTCCCTCTTCTCTTCAGTACTCGGCACTTCATCTTGTGCAGTGTATGCCAAACAAAATAATTTTGCTGTTAGTTCTTTGGTTTTTTTCTTCCTCCCTTTTGCGGCCCTTGTGACGGTGAAATGTTTTGCTTGACTTGATGTTCCACGTGCAGTTGTGTTGCTTACAACTGGTGATGGAGCGTTGTGAACTTTTTGGTACGGAGAAAACGCTCGTTTCAACTCAGCTTGAGCTCGATCAGAAGTAGTATTAGTTTCTCGAAGCTCTTGTGATGATTGTGGTGCTAGACTTATCAAATTGGTAGCAGCTTGGGAGAGCAAACGTGCAACATCCGCGATCCCTCTCCTGTCGGCCATATTGCAAGGAAAAGGACGTGAAAAGAACTCTGGGATATATTTATAATCCCGCAAGTTATGTTGGGATATAATTAAAAACATGCCCCATTCTTCTCGTAACTTGACTCGCTCAGACTTCTCGTAACTTGACTCACTCAAACTTCTCGTAACTTGACTCGCTCAAGCTACTCGTAACTTGACTCACTCAGACTTCTCGTACCTTGACTCACCCAAACTTCCCGTAACTTGACTCGCTCAAACCTCTCGTAACTTGACTCGCTCAAACTTCTCGTAACTTGACTCGCTCAAACTTCTCTTAACTTGACTCGCTCAAACTTCTCGTAACTTGACTCGCTCAGACTTCTTGTGACTTGACTCCCTCAAACTTCTCGTAACTTGACTCGCTCAGACTTCTCGTAACTTGACTCACTCAAACTTCTCGTAGCTTGACTCGCTCAAACCTCTCGTAACTTGACTCGCTCAAACCTCTCGTCACTTGACTCGCTCAAACCTCTCGTAACATGACTCGCTTAAACTTCTCGTAACTTGACTCGCTCAAACCTCTCGTAACTTGACTCACTCAAACTTCTCGCAACTTGACTCGCTTAGACTTCTTGTTGAATCAGTTACTGTCTCTTCTTCCTTTACCTCACAGTCTCGTAGATTCTCTGCACACCCGTTCCCCAGCAAATGGTTTTCTACCGTGAAGTGGAACGATCTTCCTGAATGAATTTGTCAGAAATGATATCGTGCCTAGTGTCCGTTACCTCAAAATGTTCCATGCTCTTCGTTCGTAGCTCACAAACCTTCACCTCACTTTCCCGTGACCGTGCCCAAAGCCTTCATTATATACGCAAGGTGCGAGAAAAAGGAGAAGAAAACTATTGAATATATAGAAAAAAGGTTAATTATACAAGTAAAGAATGCGAATTACTTAATAGATAAAAATACCACAAACTAGACATATCCTAAGGCCATCCACAGACTAGGAATTTAGTTGTACACGACTATTTGTGATCGACCATTAAAAGTAATCGACAACAAAAAAACGTAGTCTGTGGCGCACGTTGGCGACAACTAAACCGCAAATTATTAGTTGTCGACGGCCTCATTTTTAGGCGTCTTTCTAGTGTGTGAAAACTTTTGTTTTAGTTGTCGACTACTTTTAGATCTCCGCGCTATTGTGTTAGAGGTTTTCCCCGCCGGCTTAAAACATGGAGGATTGCAGAAGTACAATACTTGGTAAAGAAAACATTCTTATTGATTTTTCTTCTCCTCATCCCGTTCTTGGAGGTGGAGACGACACTAACGACGTCATTATTACAGCAGCTTGTGCCACCAATAAGTTCTGATGCAGGATATTTTATCCAGAACGACTGAAGGCAAATTTGGCGTAAAGTTCGTTCGAGGGGCTTTTGGCCAACGTGCCGTAGAAACTGGAATGACGGCGATTTTATCACCAATTTGCGAGTAGACAGGGTTACGTTTCTTGTCATTGTTGAAAAACTAACCACTTATATTCACCGAGAAACGACACTGAGAATGACGCAGTCCATTGATGTCGATGAAAGAGTTGGTATGGCATTATGGCGATACAGACCATCCGCAGTAAGCTCTTGGTGCCCAACCTCCCGCGTATCCTTTGCTAAATTCGTATTTGAGCGCCAGCGTGTGGAATCCTTTATCGGACTTATTTAGTTGTCGATAACTTTTACTGGTCGATCACAAATAGTTGTCGGAAACTAAAATTCCTAGTCTTTGGAGGGCCTAAGAGAGTAAAAGAATGCATTACATAATCCTAAGTTAATTATTTTGAATGCTTTCATGACAAGGTGGCGATGGAAAAGCACGCTAGTGTATATTATAGAAACCTGCGCTATGGCCACAAATCACAGACAATGTACTTACAAACCAACTTAAGGTTTGACTATAGCTTCAAAAGTTTT